TATATATATATATATATATATATATCTTTAATATAGTGCAGCTTATCCTACCCATTTAACGGTCCATGATGCTTTGTGTATGCTTTCTTCAGAGTGGATAACTTCGGCCTGGGCCTGCTGCTGAATACTAAGCAGATCAAGCGGATGATCTCTTCATACGTCGGGGAGAATGCTGAGTTTGAACGACAGTATCTGACAGGGGAGTTAGAAGTGGAACTAACTCCACAGGTTGGTCAGAACACATGTGGAAATATATACAACAATACATGAATTTTGCTACAAGATATTAATATTTTTCTCTTTTCCTGACAGGGAACTCTTGCAGAGAGGATCAGGGCTGGGGGGGCCGGGGTTCCTGCCTTTTTCACAGCCACTGGATATGGCACACTGATCCAGGAGGGAGGCTCTCCCATTAAGTACAACAAAGATGGCAGCATTGCCATCTCCAGTGAGAAGAGAGAGGTGAGATGTTGCAGTTGTGCCAAAAAGTCCATTATCTTTTGTATGCCTTGTTTGGTGGGGTTAAGAACTGCAGCCTGCAGCTATGGCCATGAATAATGTTCATAATGACCCTACCATTATTAGCTTTTGCATTGTAGTTCTTTCTAGAAAGAAAGCAAACTTCTCTGTACAGAGGAGGATACATAAGAGCATGGGTCCAACAATTCCTCTGTAAAGGCTTTACATTACAATTAAAACAATTGAGAACTGGCCACTGCAATGGGTTCAAGTTTGTAATTTTATTTTGCATTCCGAGCACAAAGTCATGTCTGGGCAGGGCGTGCATTTTGAAGAACATTTCAAAAGAACTTGTTTGTCTTGTTTGATTTTAGTGTTGCAGCATGCCCAAGTGCTTTGCAAATAATCTTTGCTATGCTATGGATTTTCTTGTGTGGAGGACAAAAGCTCAGCAGTATTGACTAATCTAGGTCTGGACTCAAATTTCTGTCTGTAAATGCTAAAAAACACACAATCTTCATCCTCCCCTGCATCCAGCGCCACTCACTTATTAAATTGTGTTGTCATTGTACAGGTGCGGGAGTTCAATGGCAGGAACTATATCATGGAGCAGGCCATCACTGGAGACTTTGCACTGATCAAGGCATGGAAAGCTGACAAGGCTGGAAACATTATATTCAGGTAACTGATGAACTGGACAGGAATATAGTGATGGTCACACACCAGCAGCACAGACCTGTAGTGTTATGGCAATAGCCGTATTTATTTAGGAAAGGATTCAGCCTCCTGGTTCGAGGCACATTATACAAGACTTAATCACCTCTGGTATGTTTGCACAACAATCTGCTCACACTGCTGATGTCATGAGGTGAGAGTCAAACAGTAATTCAGATCATACCTCACCGGGAGAACAGAGTACGTCTCCTTGGGCGAGGCAGAGTCGGGTACCCACGACGTCACCTGTGGTGTCCCTCAAGGATCAGTTCTCGGCCCCACCCTACATGCTCCCCCTTGGCTCTATCATCAGCCGACATGGAGTATGTCCATTGTTACGCTGATGACACCCAACTGTACCTCAGGATCAACCCTACCTCCTTTGCAACCCTGCCTTCACCCACACTCACTGCCTGCCTGGAGGAGATACAGGCGTGGATGAAGCAAAACTTCCTGAAACTCAACAGCTCCAAGACCGAAGCCATTATAGTTGGCACCCCACACCAGGTTCGGTCATCCACCATCACCACCATCACCTTCTCCGGCCAGGACATTACCCTCTCCTCAACAGTCACCAACCTGGGTGTGAAAATGGACGCCCATCCCACCTTTGAGGCTCACATTAAACAGCTGTGCAAGAACTCCTTTTATCACCTCAGGAACATCGCCAAACTCCGCCCCACACTCACTCTGTCTGATGCCGAAAAGCTAGTCCACGCCTTTGTCTCCTCCTGGCTGGACTACTGCAATGCACTCCTCATTGGGATCCCTAACAAAAGCATCCAGAGGCTCCAATACATTCAGAGCAGCGCTGCTAGGATCCTGATGAGGGTGCGCAAATACGATCACATCACCCCCATCCTTAAAGCACTACACTGGCTCCCCGTGGAACTGAGGATCGAATTCAAGGTCTCCGTCCTCACCCACCAGTGTATCCATGGAACTGCCCCTCCCTACCTCAAGGAACTCCTCACCCCCATACCTCCTTGCGGACCACCCGCTCCAGCAACTCCAACCTCCTCTAACCCCCCAGGACTATACTATGGGAGACCGGGCCTTCTGCTCGGCTGCTCCCAGTCTGTGGAACGCTCTCCCCGACCACATGAGAGCACCACAGACCGTGGGGGCCTTTAGAAAAGGCCTCAAAACCCATCTGTTCAATAGAGCCTTTCCCTA